ACATTATCTTAAAGAATTTCCAATGTTCAGACTATTTTAATAATAATATATAAGCATTTTTTGCCAATTTTACTTTCATTCTTTTTCCAGTGTTTAATGGAGGTTTCCAGATGATCTGTGATTTGTGACATCAAAAAGATGAAATGCAAAAACAAATGATACCTGTTTTCTATTAAGCCATACATTAAAAAAACATACAAAACTATAAAACATTGGGATTCTTCTGATTAATTTTTTAAATTTAATTTTTATGAAACTTTGAACTCAGTTTTGAATCCTGATTATTTTTGTTTTGAAAAATAGTTATTTTCATTAAAATGTAGTGTATTAGTATGTAATATGTTTGTTTTTATTTTTAAGAACTATTTTGAACATTTTTCAGTTTGAGTTTCTTTTTTTTGCGGGGGGGGGGTGCGGTATTGCATTGAACCTAGGGGTACTTAACTACTGAGCCATCTCCCTTCCCCTTTTTATTTTATAATTTGAGACAGGGTCTCACTAAGTAAGTAGCGTAGGTCCTCAATAAGTTGCTTAGGCTGGCTTTGAACTTGTGATGCTCCTGCCTCAGCCTCCCGAGTTGCTAGGGCTACAATTCCGTTTGAATTTAATTATTGATATAAAAGTTCCTTGGGATCCATAATGATTTTTAATTTTTAGGGACTGTGGTATAATATTTGTTGGTACCTGTCACAGAGCTAAAGTCTTTAGAATTTCTTGAGTGATAAGGAGTGTCTTTTGCGCCCCTTCAGTCTATTTTACTGGGGTGACTTAGAATGCACCTGGCACCAGAAAGACCAAGTGATTAGAGGATTAGAAGTTTTGAGTCTCACTGACCTCTGGGAGGGTAGGTGGGCTAGAGATTAAATCCGTTAAGGTCTGTAAAAATTCTTGAATAATGTTTGATGAGCCTTTGGTTTCCGAATACTTGGAGGAGCCAGGTCCAGAGACTGGATTCATATACCTTGTCCTTTGCATTTCTTCATCTTACTGTTCATGTTCATCTATATCCTTTATAAAGCCCTTTATAATAAACCAAGAAATGTTAAGCAGCTTGTTTACCTGAGTTTGGTGAGCTGTTGGAGCAGATTGTTAAATCCAGCCAGATGGTTGTGGGAACCCCTGATTTATAGTGGTTGGAAGGAAGTTGAACAGAAGCCTTGTGATTCTGTGCCAAAAGTTTCGAACTCTTTCTGTAGTTACTGTTTATTAGTGACATCATATTTGCGAGAAGTTATTATAGTTATCAAGCAGCAAAATCTGTATTTTGGTGACAGTTCAATTGTTTATTATGATAGTGAAAGGTTTTGATTTCTATAGGGAGGTCTTAGAGATTTTGCGAAATCTTCCATTTAGGAAGGATAAAAGATTTTACTTACCCTTCTTAGTTCTTCAAATTTTAGTTTTATTTGAGTTCTTGTGTAATTAATTTATTTGGATATTTTAGATTGACATTTATATTTTATCCTGGATTATTGAGAATATTTCTTAGAATTTAAATCTTTGGCCTGGGGATATACCTCAGTTGGTAGAGTACTTGCCTCACCATGCATGAGGCCCTGGGTTCTATCCCCAGCACCACACACACACACACACACACACACACACACACAAAAGGAAATCCTTTGTTGCTTTTAGACTTTGAAACAGTTTTCTTTCTTTCATATTTTAAACAGTAGTATTGTGTTCATTAGAGATTACGTAATGGTCTGCTTTTTCAAATAGTCTATACTGAATAATAAACAATAGTAGAAAAAAGTTCCCTTTAGGGCAGTTTCAGCCAACAAGACATCTGTTTACTATCTTGCAGGTTGGGATTCTTGGCCCAATTTGAGCATGCAAACCTCACAAATCTTTTAGATAGTTCTAGAGACAACTGACTATTCAGAAATCCATACTTACTATGCAGGGCAAATCAAATAGTTTTAAGCATTCGGATCCAGAATGTGACAAAGTTTCAGAAAATGTAGGATTTAGTACTTAAGGTTTCTACTGGCCAGTTTACTTCTGTCTCTTGAAGCATAATTTATTGAAGAATCCTCATTTACCCATTGATTTATAGGGTAAAGAAACCTCATCAGTGCTAGTTCATGAGTCTTAACTGTTGGATCAGGCCATAAAACCTAAGACTTTCTGTGGTACAAGAAGACTTGGTATGCTTCTAATATGGATTGCTGGTTATTACCTTCCTTCTCATTTCTGTACTGTAGAGAATGTTCCAGTTAGGGCTGAATTTCCTTATTATGGTTGATATTTATTGCTTTTAAAAATGTTCACTCTTGTTCTGTATTTCTCAATGTTCTCACTTTTATCAATGAAGACTCTTAAAACAGAGGAACGAAAACTTGTAGTTTAATCAGTAGTGTGCCTTGAGATCCCCTGAGGTGTTACAATAAAACATAATAAAAACAAAGGAAGGCTGCGCCATACTAGTTCATTAAAGTTAGAATGATGTAGGAAGTTAGAATTGGAGAATCTAAAAACAAAACAGAAATAAATAAAATCCCCAAAACACAATATAAGAACCCAACTCAAATAATTAACCCTGAGTTCCAGGAGTGGGTTAATTATAAAGGTCCCCAGATGTCTCTAATATGTATACAGAATGAGGCTCTCTTTTTTATTTATCTAAAAAAGCTTTTCAGGTTATTTTGTTAAGTGGAGAATCAAGTGATGGCGAGCTCCTGAGTGTGTAGGATCATTTGTGACACTAAACAAAATATATCATGGGAGTATGTTTTTGTTTTGGAGAACTATTACTCTTTCACTGTATCCACTTTTAAAAGTAAGAGCAGGGAGCATGACATCAATAAATAAGATGAATTTTAAAAATGCATCAACACTGTTTATGGACAGAGGCATATGGTTCGTTGGAGGGAGAGGAAATGAGACGGGTGAGCCTGAGAACAGGATTTTTGTAGGAGAACATTGCTGTCTTGTGACTTGTGAGGATAGCATTTGTTGCTAAAGATTAAAGACTGCATTTTATTTTGGAAATACTGGCAGTCTGTTTTTGATGCTATTTTACTTTCAGTGACCAGGGCACAGCAGTATGACCATGAGCACAATTCCCTCTTGGCCACTAGTCCTACACTGAGCTTTTCCTATTCCATGCATGAATCCCTTCTGCAGCCCTGGTTACAAGGACTTTACAGAGCTGTTGACACTGCATCTTATGTGTTTCAACTTTGTTATAAACATGTTTGAAGCAGTTGAAGTTAATAGCAATTGTGAAGGTAACTAAAAATTCCTGGGAGTCAGAAGTTAAATCTCACTTCTTGGATTTAATAATTGTGTGTCAAATTATCTCTTTTCCTTATACAAAATGGGAAAATAACTGACTTCATAGGATGGTTGTGAGGATTAAATGAGTCATTCATTGCATGTAAGACACTTAGTGGAGTGCTTGACATATCATAAATGATCAATAAATTTTTATCATTTATTCCTTGAGTAAAATATATTTTGAATATCTTTCCTGTGTCAGTACCTGTTTTAGGTTTGAAGATATGATGTTAAGTAAAACATCCTTCATTTTTATGAAAACATTTTTAAAAGTGGAGACAATGAGCAGAACATGGATTCTGTTTCACTTATAGATACCACTAATGTATGTTATTTAAAAATATACACATTTGCCAGACATGGTGGTGCTTATCTGTAATCCCAGTGACTTAGAAGGCTGAGACAGGAGCATCACAAGTTTGAGGCCAGGCTTAGCAAAGCAACTTAGTGAGATCCTATCTCAAAATAAAAGGTAAAAAGGCTCGAAGATGTGATTTTGAGGTTAAATCCCAGCACTAAAAACAAACAGTCAAAAACAAATTCCTGGCTATCTGTAGACTAAAAAAAATATACATATATATGTTAATTAATTACTTCTAAGTAGGAATTTCTTTTGTACTTCACATCTAAATGACACTAGTCCCAACATTTTTACTACCTTATTTTTTGAATTAAAGATTCCAGAGCTTAATATGTATATAGGAAAATAGGAAGACTATAAAATGTCAACATGAATGAGCAACCTTAGTTTTGATAAACATGTTTTTTTTTCCCTGATTGTTTTATTTCATCAGATTATAAAATGGCAAGATCATGAATATTAGAGTTGCATCAGTTCTTTTTGGTAATTGCCTCTTTCCTGAAGACTTTATTTTGGACAATCTTGAATGCTGAGAAAATTTATTCTTAAATTTGAAATATTTTTTCTTGAAACTAACACAGTGGTCTTTAGGTTTGTTTTTCAAAGGGAGAATAAACCTAGTACCTTGATAACCCACCGCTGTTTGGAAGATGGTTTGTGAGTGTCTTTTGCTTAGAGAGATTTGAACTTCGTCCTCATCACAGGGCTTTAAGCTTTCTCTTTTACCATTATCCCTTTCTGGGTTCTCTTACTCACATTGTTATATTTAGATAATCAAACCTGTGCTTTTTTCCCTTCTCAGCTGGGTACTGTTATTGGTAATTTTTTTCTTTGGTCATTGTAAAGAACTGATAACAGTTTACTGATGTTGGAAAGAGTGAAAGAATGATGTCTTTTTATGAATTGCAATAACTTGTTTTAATATATATTAATTTTCAACTTTATATTCTTTATAAAAGAAAATAAGGTTATTTTGATCTGGCTTCTTTGTGAAACCATGCTGGATTCTAGTCATTACTAGTACCTTCTGTATATGTAGAAACCAGCTCTTTAGGAATCAGTTCTAGAATTTGTCTGAAGATCTACATTAAGCCCTTGTGTTCTATCATCTCTGTTTACTTTGATTTTAACAAGCTTAGTGACCTCATTAATATAATTAAGTATCTAGGAACTTTATATGAGCTTTATTACTTATGTAAGGTTAAAGAAATGCTAAGACATTTGTTTAGTCCTGTTATGTATGTAGTTTTGTGGCTTTGCAAACACAGTAGAATAATTTTAGATTTTTTTTAAGAGGGAAAAAAAAGAAATGTAAACTAGGGATGGTTTTTAAATTCCCTTCTGTATTTTCTTTTAGGTAGTATTAAAGATAATAAAACATTATCAAGAAGAAGGACAAGGAACTGAGGTTGTTCAAGGAGTGCTTTTGGGCCTAGTTGTAGAAGATCGGCTTGAAATTACCAACTGCTTTCCTTTCCCCCAGCACACAGAGGATGATGCTGAGTTTGATGAAGGTAAAGATGTTCATTTCAAGTTTGTGTCTTTGCAGTTTGTACAAATGCTTGTTAATACAATTCTCAGTGTAAACTTTGATTAACCATTGTTGAGAAAGTCAAGTGAACCTAAATCACTTGATTTGAATTTCTTGGAAAAATTATACAAATTCTGGGAAATGAAATTTAAATAAAAATATTGATTACTTTTGCCTTTCTTAATTGGAGTTTGTGATTCTCATTTGTAATATAGTAATCTCCATCTCATTTTTAAAGGATGTATATTCCAAGACTCCCAGTGGATGTCTGAAATTGCAGATAGTATACATACATACATGCAAATGACAAAGTTTAATTTATAAATTAGGCACGTAAGAGATTAACAATAATAACTAAAAATAAAATAGAAGAGGTATAGCAGTTTTTTTTCTTTTGTCCTGCTAGGGACCCATCTCAGGGCCTCATGCATATGTGGCAAGCACTCTACCTCTGAGCTACACTTCTCAGCACTATAGTAACATATTATATTATAAAATATCATGAATTGAATAAAACTCATGTACTACTTATTTCTGAAAATTTCCACTTACTATGTATTTTCAGTCCACGTTTGAACTAGGGTGAGATAGAAAGCAAAATCATGGATAAGGGGACACTACAGTAACTAGGATAGGAGCTGTGCTTATGTTGACTTTCTCATTATGAAATCAGCTTGGCAAATAACTAACATTGTGAAGGACGTGGATCATCATTGTGTGTCCAGCATCTATTCTATTCTGTTTGGACAGTGTTTAAGGAAAGATGAGTCCAGCCCTCTGCTTCAGAGGAAGATTTTGTAACATTTCAGAAGCATTTTATTTTTGGACTCCAGATGTAATTTCTTTGTTATCAAAGGCCTATAGTAGTTAAAAGTTTGCCAGAGGTCAAGGTGAACATCCTAAAAGATTAAAAAAAAAAATCTAGTTGAAAATAATTTCTCACTTGTTTGAACTCTTTCAAGGCTCATTTTCTGTACAGTTTTCTGGTTTTTTAAGAAATTGTGGCATAAAAATTCATAAAATTTACCATCTTAACAATTTTAAAGTATGTACCACATGAGTGTTAACCCAGTGCATGCTGTTAGTCAGATCTGTAGAACTGTTTCACATCATGCAACCGAAACTCTTTAAAACTCCCCTTTTCTACTTTCCTCAGCCCTTAACAAACAGTGTTCTTTGAGTTTGACCACTTTAAATATCTCATATAAGTGGAATCATTTAGTATTTATCTTTTTATGACTTGCTTATTTTATGTAGTATAATATCTGCAAAGTTCATGGTATAGCATATGACAGGATTTCCTCCTCCTCCTCCTCCTCCTCCTCCTCTTCTTCTTCCTCTTCTTCCCCCCTAGGCTGTTTTATTCTGTTGTATTTATATCCACATTTACTTTATCCATTCATCTGTTGATGGACATTTAGATTGCTTTCACTTCTTGGCTATTGTGACTAATGCTGCAGTGAACATGGGTGTTCAGCATATATCTCTGAGATTCTGTTTTCTTTTTTTTTCCTGTTTTCACTTCTGTTGGACATATACCCAGAAGGTTATTGCTGAATCATATGGTAATTTTATTTTTATTTATTTGTTTTTTTCTGGTGCTGAGGATTAAACCTGGGACCATGCATATGCTAGGCAAGTACTCTGCCATTGAGCTGTCTGCAGTCCTTTCTTTTTAATTTTTTGAGTAACTTTTATACTGTTTTGTTTGCACTGCTTTCCATTCCTACCCATTATTCATGTGGATTCCAAAACATTTGTTATCTCCTCTTTTTGATAGTAGTCATTTTAATGAGTGAGAGGCAATTTTGTGATTTTGATTTATATTTTGCTGGTGAATACTGATATTGAACATCTTTTCATATACGGTTCCTGGTTATTCATGGGTGATTGGTTCCAGGACCTTTCTTGAATATCACAATTCATGGATGTTAAGTTCTTTATGTAAAATAAGTAGAATTTATATATAACTAGTACACATCATCCTATATATTTTAAATCATCTCTAGATGACTCTAATATAATGTAAGTGGTAATAGTGTATTATTTTGATAGTAAAGAAAAAGTCTGTATATGTTCAGTACAGAAACAAATTTTCTTTCCAAGTATTTTTAATCTGAGGTTGGTTGAATCCACAGATGGGGATCCCGTGAGTATGGAGGGCCTGCTTGTACTTGTTGTTGACTCATGTATAATTTTTGGAGAAATGTCTGTTCAAGACCTTTGCCCATTTTAAAATTGAATTTGTGCTTGATTTGGAGTTCTTTTAATATTTTGGGTTTCAATCTCTTATGAGGTAATGGTTTGCAATATCTATTTTTTCCTGTTTTGCAGGTTGCCTTTCATTCTGTTGATTGTTTCCTTGATGTGCAGTTTTAAAGTTTGGCTTAGTTGCATTTGTCTGTTTTTGTCTTTGTTGCTGTGCTTTTGGTGTCATATTAAAGAAACCATTGACAAATCTAGTATTAGGAAGTTTTCCCCTTATTTTCTTCTATGAATTTAATTTTCAAATCTTTAAGTTTAGGTCTTTCCATTTTGAATAATTTTTTCCATTTTTTAATTGGTGTATTATAGTTGAACATAATGATGGGTTTTGCTATTGAAAAATTTGTGTGTAGTGCAAGGGAGTGTCCAACTTCATTTTTTTGCATATGTATTCCAGTTTTTATGGCACCATTTGTTGAAGAGACTGTCCTTTTCAGTTTAGAGGCCTTGGTACCCTGGGTGAAGATCAACCCTATGCCAGGGGTTATTTTTGGAATGTCTGTTGGCGTTGCATTGGTTAATAGTCTGTCTTTATTCCAGCATGACACTTTGGATTTCTGCAACTTAGTAAGGAAACTTTATTTTTAGTTTTAGTTGGACACAATACCTTTATTTATTTGTTTTTATCTGGTGCTGAGGAACCCAGCACCTCGCATGTGCTAGGCGAGTGCACTACCGCGGAGCCACAATCCCAGCCCCTGACACTTTTTTTTTAAATATGTTTTTTTAGTTGTAGATGAACACACTAATTTTATTTATTTATTTTATGTGGTGCCAAGGATCAAACCGTAGTACCTCACATGTGTGAGGCAAGCACTCTACCATGGAGCCACAACTTCAGCCCTCTAATGAAACTTTTGAAATCAGAAAGTATGAGGGCTTTAGTTTTGTTCTTATTGGAAATTGTTTGGGCTGTTCAAGGTTCTTTGAGATGCCATATGAATTTTAGGATGTCTTTTTTTATTCCTATGAAAAATATCATTGGGATTTTGATAGGGATTGCATTGGATATGTAGGTTGCTTTGACTAGTATTGGCAAGTCTTTGCTGTTTTGGTTAAGTGTATTTGTAAATATTGTGTTTATGATGCTACTATAAATTGGCTTGTTTTCTTAATTTCCTCTTCATTTTTTTTGTAACTTAATTGATAAAATATTATTTATTTCATTTGACTTAACATCTTCATAATGCCTCAAGTATATTTTTGCTAAGGTTATAGTACCCTTGATATTGTAATTTGTGTGCAAATCAGTTTTCACTTGAATAATACTTCTAAAAACTAAGATTATTTTTGTTTTTGAGTACTTGATTTTTAATATGGTTGTGTAGAATACATCTTTTATGTTTTTTTTCCCCCAAATGGCCATACTTAGATCTGAATTACTGTATGTTTATACCTCCTGTGCAATTAAGGTTGAGATTCCTGTGCAGTCCATTCTGGTGGTATTAGGATATCTCTTATTTTCCTACCCAACAACATATATCTGGGGATGCTTATTTATAATTCAATAATCATTAACTTAGGACTGGAAGACTAGCAATTATTGATACAATTTCTTGGTTTACAGGAAAGAAGCATAAGAGCTTTACTTGAAGTGACTTGTTTTGTTACTTGATGGGAGTGGATGCCATACCAAAATAGCTTACACAGTTTTCTGTTTAAAAAAAAAAACTGTTACACAGTTTTTTCAGGTATTTATTATTATTGGTATAAAATTCTTGGTTTAGAATATGAAGGAGAAATAATGTTTAGTGCAGTTATGGCAAATAAACAACAATATGTTGACTATTTTAGATATTGATCATTGGAAGTTAATCTTTCATAAGTTTGAGATAATTGATTAACATATACTTTAAGAAGCTCATTAAAGCCACATATGTATGGTGGCATACACCTGTAATTCCAGTGACTCATCTGAGGCAGGAGAATCACAAGTTAAAAGCTAGCTTGAACAATTTAACAAGGCCCTAAGTAACTTAGCGAGACCTTATCTCAAAATAAAAAAATAAAAAGGGTTGGAGATGTGGCCAGTGGTTAAGTGCTCCTGGGTTCAGTACCCTAGTAACAAAAAACAAAACAACTCACCTCATTAAATTTTTTTTCAATAGCCCTGAGATAAGGAGAGAGCATTAGGTAATAACTATGCAGTGTGTATTGTGTACAATCGGTATATTTCCTATAATAAGATGTTACTCTGCACAGTTTTTTTCAATCCCATTTTCTGTATTAGGAAACCAATATTTAGTGATATAAATAACTTGTCCAAAATCATTGTAAGAATCAGTAGAGTATGGATTGAAACCCTGTGACTGCCTGGTCTAAATCCTATGATTTTTCCACTATAGTATGTTGCTCTTAGACTTTTAGAGAAATATTGAATGTAGGGCAGCATGAGTCTGTATCTGAAATCCACTTTTTGTGCAAAACAAGTAAATTTGCTTTTCATGATTTTACCTTTAGGAACTGGGATTTTCCATCTGTCCTGTACATGTGGAAAATGTTGTATAGTTCCCTGTATTTCTTCATAGCCTTTGGCAAAAGGCTTAGATTTTAGGTTCTCTCACCTAAGCCGTTTATTCTCTTAATGTGCATTAGAATGCAATGACTGGATTTTTAAAAAATCAAATCTAGATGAAACAAACATTTTATTATAAAAATGTATTTTAGAATAGGCCTACAGTTTGATTATTTTATATCCTGAAAAAGGCCTACCATTTT